TCACCGATCTGATCTCTGGGGCAAGCCAGTTCAGTTCAGGCACCCTCTCCACTATTGCTAGTAGTCCAGTCTGCGGTCATCCTTTGAGATCCCTGGTAACTTCCCCAGCACCGGGTTTTTCTCTATCCCCGTGATGTCTCTCTCTATCATGGTATCTCTTTCACTGTATTCCCCCTCCCTCCCTGCTCCAGTTCAACCATCCCATTCCCTTAGGTTCTCATCCCCTATCCCCTATCCCCTACCCTCCATTGCCCACCCCTCATCCCCAGTTTACTCATGGAGATCTCATCTATTTCCCCTTCCCAGGATTGCGCATGCATCCATCTTTGGGTCTTCCCTGTTATTTGGGTCCTCTGAAGTTGTGGCTTGTTGTCTGATTATTCTTTGCTTTATATCTAGTATCCACTTATGAATGAGTACATACCATGTTTGTCCTTCTGAGTCTGGGTTACCTCATTCAGGATAATATTTTCTAGTTCCATTTGCTTGCAAATTTCATGATGTCAGAATGGCTAAGATCAAAAGCACTGCAGACAGCTTATGTTGCAGAGGATGCAGAGCAAGGGGAACACTCCTCCACTGCTGGTGGGAGTGCAAACTGGTACAGCCACTTTGGAAATCAGTATGGTGGTTTCTCAGAAAATTGGAAATCAATCTATCTCAAGACCTAGTTATATCACTCTTGGACATATACCAAAGGAATACTCAATCATACTACAAGGACACATGCTCAGCTATGTTCATAGCAGCATAATTCATAATACCCAGAACCTGGAAACAACTGAGATGCCCCTCAACTGAAGAATGGATTAAGAAAATGTGGTATATATACACAATGGAGTACTACTCAGCAGTGATGGCCTTCTTAATAACTTCCTCTAATAATTTGTCTTTGGTGAGATCAGTCCTGGGTTGGATTCACAGCTCTGTGGGAAGTTAAGTCTAGGTAGAGGAAAAAGCAAGCTGGTGATATGATGAAGTTGGGCACTGCATTTCCCTGTCCAGAAAAATCTAGTGCTGGGTGTTTCTCATTCATGTTATAAAGTCCAAGGATAATCTTACAACATGTTTATTTCCCTCATGCAACCTGGTATAGCAGAGCTAAAATTAGTAAGCAGAAAGCTGGGAGCTCACATGCCCACAGCAAGGCAGCGTGGAGACATGGATTGTTCTTAAGGACATTAAGTTAGAATTCCTCTTGCTAATTTTTTATTAACCTCATCTTATTGAAGATCCCGGTCCTTGGAGATTTTTGTAATTTTAAAAAGTCACAATGCCAGAAGCAGTAAACTAGGCATAAAATTCACTATTTGATTTCTAGATCTAACACTTCATTCTATGCATGCTTTTAAAAAAAAAATCAATAGTTCATCCAATTAGAAAATGAGAAGTTAAAGTCTGAGGACAATATATTTGTAAAACTGCAGCAGATATTGTTCCCAGAGAGGACTGCATCACTGTGGATGCCCCTGTCATTCTTTAGTGGACTGTTGAAAATCATTATGGGTCCAGATGTGACAGCACTTGCCTATAGTTCCAGCACTCAGAAGGCAAGAAGGATAAATCAGAGTGATGTCAGGGAGATCCTGCCTCAAAGAACAAGAGCATGAGCTAATCCTACAGAAAAAAAAAATTAGAGACAAAAACCATTAAGAAATTTGAGACGGTGGCAACAGAGCCTTACATCAAATGTGCAGTCTGTTACCTCATAAAGAAACTGGAACAGTCACATACCCACGCTCGTAAAAACCTCACAGTGCCCAACCTCTTGCTGAACCAATTATAAGGCAGAACAGCCCTGTAAACTTTTTACAAGAAGCTTTAACTTTCAGCTGAGCCATGGTGAGAAACTGCCTACAAATTCTATACATGTAATACTGAGTCTACACACAGCCATTATGGGAAGCAACTATTGCAGACGAAAACCAGATCCCAGTCTCCCAGGATCACAGAACTGTGCAAGTAGTCTTGTCAGTTCACCATTCAAAGCTTCCAACTAAAATAATGGATTAAGCTTCATCATTCTAGCTGGGGTCGAAATAGAGATTCACTTCTGCCTTCCCCAAAGATCATGCTTTGTTTAGGGAGTTATAAATGGTGGTATCTCTTGAGGCTATCAATTTAAAAACATATTTTCTCCTATAAGGAACACTTCCATTTCTCTGTCTTCTCCTGTATCTAATGAGATCCAATTTGGAGCTTCTGGAATCTGATTGTTTGTGCTGTCTGCTCAGCTCAAGATCCTTATTCGAGCTCACTGAGCTTCGAATTGCATTTTCTATTTCAGATACTTTGAGAAATTTAACTTCTAAAGCTAGTTGAAGTAATTATGATTCTGCAAAAAGCTTAGCCAATTACTTCTTAAGAGCTAAGCCTATTCTTGCCCTTAAGTGAAATCAATCTGCGGAATGAGTGCTAGAAATGCCCACCTGCCAACCACATGTAGCCAGGGTCCCATTATGCTGTTCTGGGCATTCAGTGCAATGAGAGTGGAAGAAAAGCACATACAGGGAATTGTTTCACTAAACTTTAAACACTGGTTTGATGGTAAGTGTGTCCCTCACGAAGCCCTGAGCAGGACAGAGGCATGTGTAAATGAACCTCTTTCCAATGTGTTTCCAGGTCCGCCTCTAACAGTTTAATTCCACATTGCACAGCAAAAGTCACATCATGTGACAAGTGCGGTCTGCCTTAGGTAATTATTCAGTGCATTATAGCATGGCATAATTTTTTCCCCTTTTTAAAATGCCAGGTGGAAAATGCAAAACTCTAAAATTAATGTCACAATCAGTGACTTCATAATAAACTTGAGATCTTAGAATACACAGGAAACCAAGGAGTTCCTATAATTACATCTAAAAACTGATCATATTGCATGTATATATGCATATGTCATATATCATACATATTGAGAAAACATTGTTCAATGCATGCAGAGAAGTTACATCTTTTGAAAGCCCCAAGTTTCAAGAGAATAATTCAAGCTTGCCTCTTTTGGGCTGATTGGAAAAGCTTATGCATGCATGGGAATGGCCTTACTTGAGGACATACATCCTGAAAGCCTTTATTGCTCATGCTTTCTTGTATTACTAGAGTTTCCCTGAAGGATTCTGAGGGAAATTCAGGTGGTAAATATAAGCCAGCTGCTATTCAGTATAATTCTTCCTTGGAATGCTTTATACTTTTATTTATACATAAGCTGTAGCATCTGCCAGCAAAAAAGATTAGTGTAAGCACTGTTTTCTGAATAGATGACTCCAGGCCTTATTCTTTATAAAGCACATTCATCCCTGTGGATTTAGCTTTTGATTCAAAGAACCTTGAGTTATTCGGAAAGAGGCTGAAGAGTCTTCCTATTGTGCTAGAGAAGGGTCTCACAAAGCAGTTTCTTACCTATGAAACTTTTTTGGCCCTTTTGACTCCACTTTCATAATTAGGAATTGGAACTTCCAATATGAATTAAGTCCATTTCAAGAATAATAAAAATGAGTATTTTGCATATGTCTCACTCTATTAGTAGGTAGAAGAGTGTAATCTAGAAACGTACCTTTCCATTCTTCTCCATATGAACCAGTAACTAGGGAGGTAAAGGTCCATTCATAGCTGGATATACCTACCTCTAAGTATTAGCCAACTATTAGGAACACTGAAGAATAGCATTTTTTCCTTTTTTGTTTGTTCTGTTCTGTTTCATTTCTTTTTATCTACTTCTTGCCTATGTATTCATCAGATCCATGTAAATGGAGGGAAACTATTAGCACTGTTCATATCTTTTTATTTTGTATATTTTATTGAGAGGAAAATTAGCACAAAAAGTAACAAAAGGAAATGAAGGTATGTCAATGATCATAACGATGATCTCATGGGAATATTTAACATATCTTGAGGTCTAATCTCAAAATTGATGCTTTGTTAAAAAGTTTCATATCTAATTTTCCAATGAACTCCTGTGAGATGGGAAGTTCTACTTGATATTTTTTCATGAACTGAGGAAAAAGAGAGCTGGAGTGCGTATACTGACCAAAGTCAAAATATGTGAGTGTTGAACTTGAGAGTCAACACAGCTCACTTGATTCTGAGGCCAAAATTCTCAACTTTACAATGCAGTTACAGGTGTATTGTATGCATTAAGAGTTTGAAAACTCCTAAAATAAATTTTTCTAACTACATGCATGTGAGTTAAAAAGACAAGGGCAAGACTAAAAAGATGGTAAAATTAAGATGATCTTTTCTTTTTGTGAAAAAAAGAGAAGGTAATTATACTTCAAATTATATAGAACCCTTAGCCTCTCCTTTATAGTCTACTAGGCTTATGATCCACCTGATGAGAAACCAGCTCTTCGTTGTGTAGGCTCATTAATTTATTAAAAATACAGTTATATAGAAAGGGTGTTAAACTCTTTCAAATTGTAATATTTTCATTGAAATATTTTTTTTGTTTTTGTATTTGTAAATCACAAAGAAAAATATTAGGAAAAATGATAAGTATCCTTAGAATAAGTAATGGTATTCATAATCATTTTAACCAGATATTTAACAATGGTGCTATACCTTATTTCTTCTTTTCATTTTTAGACTGTCTAATCTTCTCTTAAATTTTTATTATTTTATTAATATACAAAAGCATGAATTTCACATATTAATATTACTGTGTACTCTTTTATATGTGTATGTAGGGCATTTGATAATTTTCTTTATTATGAACTTTTAACATTCTTGATTTTGAAAGTACACTGTTTTCTTATTTCTGTAATATCCTTACTGTGGAATAGCACACTAGAATATACCTGTCTCTTAAGTTGTATTAATCAATCCTGCTTACCCTTCCTCCATCCCCTACTCTCCAATACCTCTGAAAACCACCATGATTCTTCAATGTTTTGATTCAACATATGACTTCAATCATGTAGTACCTGTGTATACTTGCTTTACAATTTTCAGCTTCATCCATATTCTCTTAGTGACTAATTTCATTCTGCTTATCATTCTATCATCTGTTGTGTTTATACACCTCATTTTCTCCCCCCCCATGCCTAATTTGATGGACATATTACATTTCTTGATTCTTGTGAATAGTACTGTCTTAAACATGAAGTACAGACATATTTGAACATGGCTTTTCAGCTTGTGGCTGGCCACATTTGCATGCAAGTTTAACTGTGTTCATATAAACGGTGTTATGAATTCTGAATGACTTTAACTTGAATCCATAATGTAAACCATTCAGCTATCAGGACTGCCTAAAATATACATGGCAGACATAATGGCATTATGAAAAATACAAGGATTATACTAAAGCCAAGTTAAATAGACATGTTTTAAAATTTCATTCATCAATAAAAAAATTAAATAAAATTTATCTTTCTTCCTAACAAATTTGATACTCTTAATTTCACCATGTTTAACAAAACAGACATGGTGAATATGCTGTGTTGTTTAAGGGCTGGTTTAGATAGAATAAATTGATACACAAAGTCACTCTTGGAGCCAGTGTGTTGCCTCAGTAGGAAAAGACACTTAGTACCAAGCCTGATGACCATAGTTCAATCTCTGGGTCCCACAGAGTGGAAAGGAAGAAGTGGATACCACAGTTATCTTCTCTTTACTACATACCTTGTGGCATTCTTACGAACATAAATATAGGCACAAATGTACATAAAGTAAATGAATAAAATTAATTAAAATAACAAAGTTCTGTTAATGGTTTCACAAGAGAATATGTCAATGAAATATCTGAAGGATGGTATTTCATTATTTTTTTCTAATAAATGTGTTAAATCAGTAGGTATGTAGTCCAGTTTCCAATAGATATTAGAAAATGTTTTCATTATAGAAGTATCAAAGTGATGGGTATTAGGAGTTTGTGATCTTGCCAAGTATTTAATCTATTTGAAAGTGTTTCTCCTTCATTAGAGGGAAAAAAACGGAAGTGGGAAGAAATTTAAGAAAAAAAACCAAAAAAAAAAAAAAAAAAGGTGGTTAAAAATTAAGTAACATGGCCATATATAGCAAGGATGTAATAAATAATTATATAATACAATCTCATCATTGGACATTAGGGACACACATAGAATATGAACTCAATTACACTGCATTGTACTTTTAAAAGGAATTCTCAAAATAATAGTAGTACTCTTGTGCCCAATAATAACAGAATTCATGACTACCTAACTAGGCTCTGCAGTAATTTTCTTTATTGCCTTTGTTCATTATATCAGGAAAGTGGATATGATGTTTATTTGTATGTGAGCACTTAATGTCCACAAGATACCTATCTAAATTGAATCCTGCACACAACTCTGTTTTCCTAAACATTGTTTTCCTTTCCTCTTTCTAGACAATCCTAAAGAGACCACTCGAGTGTCTGTTTTTGTGAGGATCTTGGACGTTAATGACAATGCTCCACAATTTGCCGTGTTTTATGACACATTTGTATGCGAAAATGCCAGACCCGGACAGGTGAGCAGCTGTGCAACTCTAGTTCAGGATGCTTTCGGTTGTGTGCAAAATGTGTTTTTGTCAAAATCTTGGAAAAGATGAGACAACCAGAGTTAGGAACACTTCTTTATATTCTCATTAAAAGTTTAGAAAGTGGTTGGTGTTTATAAAGTTGAAAGTATTTTAATAGGTCAGATTTCTCAATTCCTTTCCAAAGTTGTAATGCAAGAAAATAATAATGACATCTTATTCTACAATAATATTATTAAAATAATAAAATAATAAGATATTGTCTCTTCCATAAAATTGAGGTGTGGGAAATAGCTTTAAATTTTAAAACTACAAATCAAGAGCAAAAAAACAGAATCTGCTCCATGACATTGGCTCTATATTAGCAACCCTTTAGAGAAATAGAGGATGGTATTAGTACAGTTTTTAATATCTATCTATCTATCTATCTATCTATTCTTTTTACTTTGTTTATTTGTTTATTTATTTGTTTATTTATTTATTTATTTTGGTTTTTCAAGGCAGGATTTCTCTGTGCAACAGTCTTGGTTATCTTGGAACTCACTTTGTAGACCAGGCTGGCCTCAAACTCACAGACATCTGCCTGCCTCTGCCTTCTGAGTGCTTTGATGCATGCATCACCATGCCCGGCATAATACAGTTTTTATGGTCAGAGCTTGCTTCCTGACAGCTCTAGTCAGATGGTCTCTGCTACCCATTCTCAAAAAAGCAACTAAATAGGCATATAAGAATGAAAGGCAAAAAAACAAAAACAGGGTTTATTCAGCATGGCCAGGTTGGACGGAAAAGCAAATACAAAAGGGCCAATGATGCCCAACTGGTCCATCGTTGAGGTCCTAACATGAGGTTTTGGTTAAACAAATTTCACTGAATATGTATAACAAAGAAGTACCAGTCAAGCGTGGCCCTCCACATCATTGACACTATCTTGTCTCAGTTCCAGTTTCTTCTGTGATTTGGTCTGTGTGGTTGTCCAAACTATGTGAATTCATTTGGGGAGACAAGTTTCTCCTGTGGCTAGCACCTGGTTTCAACCTTTTCTTCTCCAGCATGAGATGCCTGGGAAATTTCCAATTTCTTGGTGACTTCTCGTTCAGTAGTCTAATAGCATAAGTGTACGACCCAAATATCTCCTTAGAATATCTCCATTGCTACAGAATGGTGACCGTGAGACTGTGGAAATACAGAGACAAGTGCACAGGATCACTGAAACACTCAGTCAGTGTTGGGTTGTATGTGACCATGTTTTGAAGTAAGGCAGCCTCATCCATTGTTCTGGATTCCCTGTGTTTTTCCTTGGTGTAGCGACACATAAAATGCTTAATGACTTCATTTTCGTCCTTTGAAACATTCTTCCTACATCAGCTTTGTTTGGAATTATTTAAATCATTTCCTCAGTGGACTCATTTTGTTGCTTGAAAAGCTCCAGCATACATGGCTGAGAGAAATGCTCTTAATTGGCTTGAGTGCTATCTTCACAGAAGGAAGCTGCATATTATAAATAATAATTGGGAATCAAAACTATTTTATTAGAGATAGAGAAGCCATTGAGAAACCATGTCGTGTTTTGACATCATTTAATGCTTTTATAAACATCAATGCCATTGCTATATTTTTTATGCAAATTGCATTGTCCAATAACTCCAGTTCTTCTTGTGAATATTCTAATGAGAATTCAATAGCTTGTCTATTGTTTGAAAGGATAAAATTACTGCAATTGGATTTTTTTTACTTGAAATGTTATGGAAATGTTTATTTCTGAATATTTAAATAACTTAGGTGCTTCTAACTTTTTTAATGAAGTAATGCCTATCCTAAAAATACCATTCCATCCAGTCCTTGGCCTATAGGCCCAGAATGATTTGTTGAAATCTTTTCTGCACATAGTAAATTATCCACTTTGCCACTGCTGTATGCATTGCCCCCTCCATGATTATTCAATTTGATTTTTAAAGAGATATCTTTCAGACCAGTTGAGGCATAAATACTGATATACTGATGTATTCAAATTATTCAAAATGATGATGCATATGTTCTTCTGCTTCTTCTCTTGTTCACTGTAGCTAACCCACACATGTCTCAAGACTTTTTGGATATTTAAAAATAGTTAATGGTGGAAAATAAAATAATTGCTTTAAAAAGCATTTACCAAATCTTGACAACCTTAATATGAAGGCTCTGATTAATTTCTCCCTAACTGGCCACTTGTGCACATATATCCAAGTTAACTCTTTTCATTCAGACTAGCTTGTTTTAGTCTGACTGCATGAGACATGTTTTTGTGTAAACAAAGCTTTTATATGTGAAATCACTAGCAGAATCTGTTGGTGTGTGTCAGTATTCCCAGCACTTGGGAGACTGAGACAGTGGCATCAGGAGTTCAAAGTTCCCCCACCTACATAGATTGTGTGCTCAAGGACAGCCTGGGCTACATATCGTTTCTCAAAAACCAAAACCATGTAGGAAGTCGGAGGGGATTGGATTCAGAATCAAAAGTCATGGCATCCAAGACAATGTGGTTATTCACTAAACTTCCTCACTAAGCCCTGGGTGAAATCTGCTTGCATGTTAGGTCTCCCCAGATCCTAGAAAAATAGAGTGCTAGGTCTTCTGGGTATACTTGAGCTATTTATTAAGTACCTAAACAGGAGCCCTATAATTTAAGTGTTCTTTAAGTAACACTTAGATCTACAGCATGGGGTATAATCCCACTCATTTGGTGTGTGGACAAATGGGTGAGTCAGAAATAAAACTGCAAGCCACCACATTTTCCTTTACATCCCTTTCCTTGGTCTTGTCAGTTCCTTGGTTTAAGAAAGGGGCATTTCCTTCAGGAAGGATGCAGCTTGCCACTGATATGAAGCTAATTGCCTTCTTGTGCACCTAATTGAGCTACTAAACTCACACACCCTTCAAAAAAAATAAATAAAGGTCTTTCAGAGTAAAGAGAGTTGGCTCTTTTCTTATCCATTTTGAAAACTCATGGGCTCTCCTTCAGTTGGGGAGTATATTTTCATGTCCAAGGCAGCAAATAGGCATTTACATCTCAAAGAATCTATTTGAAGGAGTCTCCTTCCCAGGGAAAGTGATGTTTATATTTACTTCAGTATCTATGGATGCTATCAAACAAAATTATTTAAAACCATGTCAAGAGGCAGCCCAGGCTTTGTCAGACCTAAAGTATGCAACGTACGTTATCCAAAGAGCAGTGTTCAGGTATATCTCTCACAACCAGGAATGGTGTGTTTAACCAGAGCAAAGGAACATTTTTCACCAAGAAATACTTGTCTCCTCACAGAAAAAGTTAAATATTTTCTTTGTGCATCTAAGAATCCACCCAACATCCCACACATGCTTCATTATATTAGGATCATTAAAACAGCCTTGAGGTTGTAGCATGTTCACTGTATGTTTTCCTTCTCATACTTGGGATAAATATTCAAGAGCACTCGGTCTGGGTTTTTGGGTTTTTTGTTGTTGTTGTTGTTGTTTATTTGTTTCTTTGTTTTCTTTTTATAGCATTAAGATGAAATAAAATAGTGAGTCCTTGGTGAGCCAGAGGAAATCTAATTTTTATTTTGGTCATGAGCTTGTATTCTAGAATGATAGAGATTCAGCTGTGGAAATTTCATTCATTATCCCTTTAATACTAGCATATTGCTTTCTATAACACAATCATTCAGTTAACCTCTAATAATTAATGTATTAGTGCTACACCCTTTAATCAATATATACATTTCATTTGAAGATGTCATGTAAATTTCATAATGTGCTATACACACATAAAATTAAGTGGACATTGGTCCTCAAAAATATATTATTTTATTCTATAACAATGGACTGGAACTTTAACTTGAAATCATAGTTACAAATATTATTTTGAGATCTTATAATTTTTCTTTAAAGGATCATTAGTTCTACTTTTATATTACTAATATATATTTATATATATTATATATAAAGTATATATATAATATACAAATAATATATTATATATATATATATAGATAGATAGATAGATAGATAGATAGATAGATATTAGTGTCTCTTTGTATTAACCTTAATCTTAGTGACTAAGAATTTCCATTGGTCTTTATTCTTCTATTATTTCATTATGGCATTTATTTCTTCTTAAATACACTAATGAATCACAAATTTAAAATGAAAAATTTCAAAACATGATTGAAAAAGGAAAGTTAGGCAAGAAGAAACAGATGAATTAATAACTTTTAAGGACCACTTGCCTGTTACCATTATTTGTACATTTTGTCTTGAATGTATTCAATTATCTGTTCTATATTTTATTCTATTATAATTTGTTTCTCTTTATTCTTATTATAATAAATATTTAGTCATCCATGATTTAATACTGTTTTAAAATAATAACACTTAAATGATTATTCTTGTTCATTATTTCTAGAAAATAATATATTACTTTGTGTGGTTTAATTAAATTTCTTGAATTGCTTTGAAATAAATAATTAGAATTACAATAAGTAGGCTATTTTTACTGTTATTGTTATAACATATTTTGAAGGAAAGTAATTTAATATAATGTGATAATAATTTGCTCATGTTCCTAATCATTTCACATAATGTTTTAAGCTTAAAATTCCTTGCTAAATCAACAGAAACTCTAGAATTTTTTTTACCAAGTATACATACAATGATAAACTAATGTTTTAAAAGTATATTCTTCTAACTAAGCATAAGTTTGAATGGTTATACAAGCATTAACAAATGTAAGCTTTTGATATTTTCCTAAAATTAATTTCTTAAAACATTATGCATGTAAATGGAATATAATCAAGAGAACATCCATCTAGAATGTTCTAGATATACATATCTGTCCCTGATGCACTGTCACATAATGAAGGTGACAGATGTCTAAAACAAGATATGGTACTACGTTTTCAACTTCAAAAGCAGAAAGTTTCTTTTTTCATTTAATGTATTTATTTTTCACGTGTGTGTGTGTGTGTGTGTGTGTGTGTGTGTGTGTGTGTGTGTGTTTGCATGCCATGTGTGTTTCAGTGCCCACAGAATTAAAAGTGGGTGTCACATCCCTTGGAGTTGAAATTACAGATGTTTGTGAGGTGCAGGTTCGCTGGATGAGCAGCAAGTGCTCTTAATCCATGGCCCATCTCTCTAGCCCCTAGAGAGTGGCTTAAAATGTCTGTTTTTTTTTTTTAAATCAAAGTTGATCCTTAAAAAAGCCATTCCTCTATGATATGGATACATTCAGTCTGAAACTATATTTGTAAGTGAAGTGGATAATCTTTTTCTTTTTAATTACAAAAGTTTCTTTGACAAAACCATTTATTACCTATAAAGTTTCTATTTCTTTTTTTTTTTTTTAATTTTTTGTTGTTGTTTTTGAGACAGTCTTTGTTGTTCTGAAACTCTCTTTATAGACCAGGATGGCCTCCAACACACGGAGATCCACCTGCCTCTGCCTCCTGAGTGCCACCACACCCAGCTGTAAAATTTCTATTTCGTTTTAATATTTTCATAGTTCTTTTGGCAAGGCAAAACCTACCACACAATAAGTTTCTAAACTGGGTGAACTCTTCTAGATCATTGCTTTAACTTACATTAAATAACCCAGTTAAAGCAAGCACTTCCCCTCTCTGTTCCCTCTCTGCTCCCTGCTCTCTGTTCTGCTCCTGGCCATCTCTCCCTCCCC